GGTATTCATAGTCGATTCTTATTTCAAGACCGTCTTAAGTAATGTCTTAAGACGCTAATGCAGCACTCTGATTGGTTCGTGACTTCTTAAGACCTTACTTAAGACGGTCTTGAATATAAGATCTGACTATGAATATCGGCATTAGAAAGAGATCAACTAAAATACTGCTCGGTTTCATGGCTAAACAGTCATACATTGTCGATTTCTCACGCGCTAGACACACAATTTCGTTCCTTGCGCTAATCTTTTTATTTAGGCGTCAAAACTTAATTCTAAAGATACGACTGTAATCGTCTATTCTACATGTGCGCCTGCCCTAATTTCGAGCATATAACGTGCATATAATTTTTTCACGAAGTAAATGTTTGGTGAGCTGATAGCACATGGATACAGGAATCTGTAATTTATTTATTTTTTCCAATTTTGGACACAAAATACACCAGGAACAGGTACATTAGCACGAATATTTCAATCGTGGAGAAGGAATTTTTATTCTCTGCAACTCTAATTCGAAGAACCGCGCAAGGAACACAAACGCTTGCTTTATCGGTTAGTCATATAGGCGGATTGACGGCCGAGGCCGCACTACCGCGCACACTGCACAGATCCCGCCCCCCCATCGCAAACTTTTTTTACGCGGCAATGGTCGCGTTCAGCAGACTCAACTGTTGTGGAGCGGATCCGTGAGCGCTCGCTGCTATTGGATGATCTAGAAGAATACACCAATAGCAGCAAGTGCTCACGGATCTGCTACACAACAGTTGAGTCTGCTGAACGCGACCATTAACAAACGCCGGGTTGACCGAGCTTGCGAGAAATTTGCACGAACAGGAATCGCTCGATCACTAGTTACCCATATTAGTACGGTAACGGTAAAGGTATATCCACACAAACTTGCATAGCCGCATAAATATGCATAAAGAAAATTATCCAATTGCAGTTCTCTTTTAAAGTCGTACATAAAATGTGATTGGATAATTTTCTTTATGCATACGTTTATGCGGCTATGCAAGTTTGTGTGGATATACCTTTATGGCCGCAGCACACACTCTTGCATAACGCATAATACATAGTGAATAATGGAATCAATCAATCGAAATTCTTCTTTTCCATGGAATGAGAGGAAAGGAAAGCTTCTGATTAGTTGATTCGCTTATGCACTATGCGTTATGCGTTATGCAAGAGCTTGTGTCTAGGCTCTAAGGGCTCTCACAGATGAAATGCATAAGTCCGGATCTACAATAGGTGTTTTAAGCCTTAAGCCATAAGAAATTGACCAATTACAGTCGAATCCGAGAAGAA